GTGAGGTGCGGAGTCGAGAGCTCCGGCTGGTTGCAGCGAGGTGAGTGACGCACGCAATGCACGCCGCACGGTCATCGCTCCCTTTACAGAAAAAAAAATACGTTCTTGACTCAGTTTGTTTATTGCATACTTACCCACGCTTACGTCAGCCAGTATTTATGTTGCTGTGTGTAACTTTTTTTATTTTACCGTTTCACTTTGATAACTTATATTTCTAAACGTTTCTCGCCGATTAAAAAGTTATTAATGGCAATTCGTTTTGTTTAAATACACATTTTCATTACAACGAATCTCGAATAGTCCCTATTTTTAACTGCAACTAAAAATGAAAGTTGCAACTTTTGGTTTTCCTACTCGATGACAGATGGCGCTAGGAGTCTTTACAAGAGGGGAAATTATTTTTAAATTCTTTGTGTTTTGTTAGATGCTAAATATTTTAAAGTAATCAGGATAAGCAGAGACATTTTTTTTATTTGTATTCAATTATTAATACTGAAGTAATAAGTAGTAAAACCTACATGTCCTGAGGCAAGCATAGCTACTAAAACGTGTTTCTTAGATCGTAACCCTACATTAGTGTAGATCTTTTTTGATACTTTTTTAAATATATGTAATATCTATTGTGTTATCTGTTATTTCAATTTTTCTTTTTTCAATTTTTCAATTTCTAAATCTTCAGTTTTGAACACTTTCAAATTCTCTTACGTCCAATAGTTATGGTAATTATTTTGTTTTTAATACCTTTTTCAAAATTGTATCTGTCTTTTGTTTCCTTTGTTCTCCTTGTTGTAAACAAAATATTCCGATATTGCGCTATTGCAAAATTATTCTGAATGCATTTTGATGTTTGGAACAATATCGAATGTATATCATGAAATAGTTACAACAACAATCGCCGGGACCTTCGGCAGTAATATCGATGTGATAGCAACATAATAAAATAAAACAGTTTGCCGGAGAAGGGCGGGCGATATCGTAACTGTAGTTAACGATAGCGCAGCCGAGGCGCAACCTTGCAGAGTTTGTTGATCCGCGCGCGGGGCCGCCCAGCCAGCCCGCGCTGACCCGCGCCCGCGACTTCGCGCCGTACTTCGCCTCGCCTCGCCTCGCTCCGATATACCACGATAATTAATTGATCAAACAAAACCATACAAACATCATAAAACACAACTAGTCTTAACCTTCTAACGCCACGATTAAACTCTGAAAATCTAAAACATTTTCTTCAAGAAAAACTGATGATTTTCTCTTATTCATTCCATAATTTTATTGTTTTTATGTATATTGAAATAAGTTATAATAAGGAACGCCATGTCATCGGAATCAAACTTGACATTTCGATAGTTATCGAGAAAACATTGACGGAACGCGTCAACCTCGGCAGTTAGCGACGCGCATATACTTTTATATGTTAATAAGATATACGCTTGTATCAGTACGGGTGCTATGATAAGTGAGCTATCGAGCATTGGATGCTCTTGATGTAGGTTCTTGTGCCAGTTGCAGGTTGTTTACATCACTGGAGTGCGACCGATGAGGCCGAAACAGATCCCACAATGATCAACGTAATTCGATATTACTTTGTACCATGTAACTATTATTTACAATTTTAATTGTGTAACATTTATCCAGATTAGTCACTTAATATAAGTTAATTTGGAATATTAGTATTGTAAAAAAACTTTTAACTGTGTGTGACTAAACGTTATTCTCAAGTTTAATTGCCAAAATACCGACCTAGGATTAAAAAAATATGTTGATATGCCAAAAAAAGCCTGGAATATTGTCATCAAGACAAAGTATCAAATAGGATATTGTAGATAACTTTTCAGGGTTGTCACCTTTTCAGGTTTCCACAGTGCATATTCGGACTACGGATTTGATTGAGTAGTACGTTGTTATTTTACGTTTTCCAATATAAGGATCAGAGGGTTGTTCAAAAGGAAATTTGACAGTTCACCAGTGTACGGGTCTACGTTTATTGAAATTTGGCAGCCCTACATAAGTCAACGCAGGCGCGTTACTACGTTCCCGTATTCGAGTTTGATGTGACCTATATGTACAATTTCAAAGGAATTATTTACTTGTCACATCTCCTTGTTTACACGAGTGAAAGATGAAAGTAGAATAACATTACGACTAATGTTTTTTTAAAGTGATTTCATCTATGAATTCGAATTACATGTATGATATTTATAAAATATCATATAATTTTTACATGTGAAATTTACAACCTAATAAAGTAAAACTAATTACAATTACTACATTTTTCATACGTGAGTCAATTACAAGTTTATACTTTTAATTTTCGGAACTACATTCGATAGTGGAGATATTCAATAATTTGTATGGAAAATATTTGCACAAAATAAAGAATTCGTTTATATACAAGTATAATATTATAATGACATATGGATACGATGTAGAGAAGTTACAACGACAATATGGTTGGATCTCACGAGAGCGATAATTGCGAAGGTCGCGCCGCAGCTGGATCTAGGCGTCACACATCCAACTCCTCCGTTTCATATCAATACATAGTTAGCTTATGACGATATACTGGTCAATTACATAACACGCCAATTTGAAATCAAAACATATGCAGATAAGGTCTATTTCAGTGTAAACACTAGCGCGGTCGGTGGCCTTACCTCGTTAGAGTTCATGCACCCGCGCGAAACTGGGCCACGTACCTCGTGTTGCTCCCCCCACCTGCACTCCCCCCGCCCGGCACCTCACCGCTCGCCGGCCCGTTACCTACCACTACAATTTCAATGAAATGTTACTATTACTCGATTTAAAAATGTACTATAGCAATTTTTGATACGAAAACAAATCGTATTTCAATGATAAACTACAAAAAATTATCGCAACATTTGCTTCGATATGACGCTATCATGTTCTTTGTTTGTCGACTTGCGAATATATAAATATAGGACATCTTATGTAGCGTTTTAAAATATTTAATATTTAAATGAGTTTAAATCCATTCTCATTGACTAGTCATTGAATAAAAGAGTAAAAATAGACGAAGATTTTAGAACACGATAACCAGTTTATAATATTATCTAGCAAGTGACGTAACAGAATTGTCGACGAGTCTAAGAGAAATGCTGTCACCGAGCTCCGGGGACCTGAACCAGTATTGCGCTGCGCGGTTGCGCAAGCGCCGAGAAAGTGCGAGTAAAAGTTGACGCAACTCGCGTCACACACCCACACATACATCTCGCCGCGTCATACACATACACTCTGCTCTAGTGTGTGTCTTGTGGATGCAACATTGTTGATTCTTGTTAGATTTCAGCTTGTTGTTATATTAATTTCCTAATCAGCGTACTAATTTGGTTAACTCGCGTTTACGTTTATTTCAATAACAATAATGTATTTGTGACTTTATTAAAGGAAGATAAGTTATTTTTTTTATTCAACGAACGTTGTTTACGTTTAACGATGTTTTTTTTATTTTATAGGAAAACATTACGATAGATTAATCTTTATCCATCACTGATAAAGTGTAGCCCTGACGCACGGAGCGCGCCATATTGACTTAAAGCGGAACCTTCAAGGCTGATTGCGAGCCTTTTACTAATAAAGAAATATAATTGGAACGATTTGAAATTGTTGCGTGGCGCACAGCATCCGTTAAAATAGTACCTTGACGCTTCTCACCTTCGAGCGCCACGACTTGCAGTACCCACACATAGGTCGGTAAACCCATCTGCAAACGGCGCACTGCAATGGCGCAGTTGTTTGTTTGTTGCCGATTACTGAGAAGACATCGACGGCGATTTGTGTGCGAGGTCAGCACTCGCCTCTGACTAGGAATGTGTTTCAGCGATGCAATCTAATGCTACCTTAATTTTGTTGAGACAAAACGCAATCTGAATTCCTTTGCTTATTTGTACTTGGTTTTTAAATAATTTTTCTACGCGGATAGTAACTTGATATATATGATAGAAAAAATATTGATAAGCAGTTTTGTTTTTGAACATATAGATATATCTTTTATATTTCTATTTATTTTAATCAAAAGCTCCTTATTCTTTATCATCATTTACTTTGTTCTTTGCCCTTTGCCCTATGTCATAACAGTATTTACTATTATCACATTTTTTACACATATCCTCTTTTACAAAAATTTCTTTGTATACAAATTTATTGTAATAATAACATTATTGTTCATTAAATATTATTTCTAATTAGTGAATTTAATGTAGATACCAATAATAGATGAATATAACCCAAATTTGAGTTTATTTTGTAAAAGTAATTTCTGGAGTTTGTAAGTTCCTAAGTAGTGAGTTATGGAGGGGGGTTACGGTGAACGGCAGGGGAGGGGAGGGCGCTCTGTGGCGACAGAAATAGGGCGCAGAGGACAGAGCAAGGCTGCCCCGGTTGCCGTGCGTCGACCCGCGCCCGTACCTACGACACGTACCTACGTAGCCAAGCAGCGGCGCGCGCGTGTGTGCGTAGACCCCGCTACGGATCTACGCGCTGCATGCACTATACTTATACTAACTCTAGCTTTATTCACTAAATGAGGAATACAAAAAAATATTAAAAATATAAAAAGTCTAAAAACATTGTTTTATCGATAGTTATTAATTAATTTTAAATAAAATTTCGCGTCAGTCATTCCACAAGAGTAGTGCGAAATGTACAATATTTAGGCACAAAGTAATAAAATAAAGCAAAATCGAAGCATGTTTTAAAAATATGCAATAAAAATTCATAGCGCCATCTGGCGCAGAGTAGTGCAATCACGAGCGCTTACCGAGTCGCTTAGCTGGCAGCCACCTCCCGTCTCTCTGTGCGATAAGGGCACGAGTTCGTTGCCCCGATAGAGGCTGACCTCAAAAACGAGGACACTGCAAAATTAGGACGCTGACAACGTAATGACTCGAGCGCCCGCGCACTGCAATACACTTTCAACTTTAATATTACGCGATACGATCTAAATTTGCATATTAAATTACATTGAACTACATATATTTGATCAATTAGGCAAATACGCTGACTCCGACAGCAGTGAGCTAGGTTGAAGTGTTTCACTTTATGATAATAATAGGTTCCAGTGTATTCTAGGAATACAAACGGTGGGGATGACATGTATGGGCACCGTGGCTAATGCGAATGTAACTAAATACGTGGTATCTTAAATATTTGATCAAACCGCTAACCTTAACTGAATAACAAACGTACCTACGTACGTAGATGACGTACATTCCTTTATTTAAAACTGGTAACTCTGACGAATATTTAAATAAGCCGTTAACTTTAAAATAATTAACATTTTTAATTGATATGAAAAATGCCGCGTTTGAAAAGGCAAAACAACTTGTATTATTTGTATTATTATCCTGATAAATATTCAGATTTATAATTACAGGATTTTCATACTAGAAAATGACAAATTTTGACGAAGCAAAGACTAAAACATTTTTTTACCAATATCATTTTCACATAGTTCTTTACGTAATTGTTTAGTGTTAAATTAAAAATAAAATGTATTAAAATACATATTGACATATACAATATAATTGACAAATTGTTCCGTTTTAAAAATAATTTATTTAAAGATTAATAATTTAAATCTTTTGTTTCAGGTAAATATTACATCTTCTTGGTAAATTTACGTGAGAAACATACCGAAGCAGATTACATCTTTTGACAGGTAATTAAGTACTGTAAATAATTACAGCTGAAAATGTGCATTTTGGCGCTCGGTTCTTAAGACAAATAATTAAAAGTGGTACTCATTAACTTAATAGGTTTTTAAACTTAAACATAGTAGTAAAGGTAAATATTTGAAGAAAAGATAAAGATAATAATTCGCATATAACCCACTGTGATTGCTTTCGTATATATTTTATTTTTGTATGTATTAAAACATAACCTACACCAACGTACTATTAGGTACTATCGTGGAATCTCGCGGTGTACTTTGTTTTGTAAAGATTGATGGGACGACTCAGAACAAACAACTAATGTGACGCAACTTTTAGATGTGCCTGTATGAAAAAAAATGTCGTTTAGTGGTACACGGCTTTTTACTAATATTCTGTCGCAACTCACTAGTATCTAATTGGTTATTCGTGACAAAATGCGAAGTTTGCCTCGTTTCAAAGATTTTTTTACAAGTAGAACACTGCGGATTTTCTCGACTGTACATCATTTGATTTCTGTGTTAAAAAAGTTAATCAACTTCAACAATGACGAATGTGTCCACGATATTCTTGTTGCCCGACTGAAGGCAGCGTAATGTGTTTTTCTTGTGAGTTCTCAACAGTTTTTTTAGCAGAATGTCATTAGAGTATTATTCCATTTAATTTAATTATTTTGAAACACGACCTACGCCAACTTACTTATATGATAGCGACTTCTACTGTCGAGTTTTAATATCACACGAAATGTCCACTAGCGGCGTTGCTAAGTGAGGATTTTTTGAGAAATTACTACTATTTAAGAGACCATCATCGGTCTCTGAGTGGTAAAAGATTGTAAATCAAGTATAACGAAGATGATTGTAAGAATATTTTATATCTCGCTATCTCTAAATGGATGTCTCTTGATCAGTTGGGTTATTGTTTTATGTGGATGCGTCGCGATAACGAATGCAGTGCAATGAGTGTAGGATGCAGTTCGGTCGCCGGGCGGGGGGCGTCGGGCGACGGTCGGGGAGCGCCGGGTGACGGGCAGGCGGGGGGCGCCGGGCGCAGGGCTAAATATAACGCGGTCGACGAACTGCAACTGGGTCGCTCCCTGTTCGGCACCGCCACCCCCGCCCCAACATAGCCCTCCACAATAAATATATGTTTTAAACCCAATACTCTATTTATAGAAAATATTTTGGGTATTTCCAGAAACGTTTTATTGCAGTCGTTATGTAGTTTTGTATTCACAAAAAACGTTTGGAAAACAAAGACAAGGAGGTAAATCTTTCGGGATTATACTCGTGACGTGTAACGTTTAGACACATTTAGTTCTCTAATTTATAATTTTTTGAAGTCACTAGTAGGAGATTTGTTTTAACAAACATATTTAGCATAAAAATAGAAAAGTTAGACTATTGTATTATGTGCATTTAATAGAAGCCAATTTAACCTTGTAGCGTAGCGTTGACTTAGGAGACTATCACAAAAGCTTAATTATAAGTGCAAGAGAAAGAACGCTTAGTTAATGCAGGATATTAAAAAATATTTTTCTTAAATTGTATAGATTACAAAATGTTTTGCACACAGTTAAGGTTTTAACTAATCTTCCAAATCTATAACCGAAACTCGGCAAGATAACGGCAAGGTGGCGAGCTCATTACGTTAAAAAATTGGGTCATTTAGCGAGCAGCGAGCAGCGTGGAGCGCTCCCCATATCGCACAGATTGCTCGTTAAGAAACGTCGCGGAAGAATTCTGTTACAACACGAATTGTGTGCGTTCCCGTTTTAAATTAGTTTCATGTTTATAAAAGGCCTGTTGTTGGGACACGTCATGTGCGTGGGTGTTGTTGTTTTCCCTATGGTTGGCGCGGGGTGCTGA